CGCACCACCCTGATATGAAATAATATCCACATATTTCTGAACAAATCAGCATTATCAAGAAAAAAATAACTATAAATTAAAATTCTTATTAATACCCGAATAATTAAGACATTGTGAATGATATCGACCATTATCTTCAGAAAACTAAGAATTAACTAAAGTAACACAAAGTGGATAACAGTGTAATAAGCACAGTAATCATTTACAATTTCGCAAAAAAAAGGCTGTTATCGGTAGAACTACTAATATATAGCTGTATAATAGCCTATTCGCCTATGCCCCCGCGCCCATTACGAACCCCTAAAAAAGTGGTAACCCATTAAATTGAAAGGGCAAAAAAAGCGAGATTCTACCTTACAAATACAAAATTTCAGAGGTTTAAACTTCTCTTGTCGAAATATAGAATAACTATTAATTTCAAAAACCGAATGGCGACTTTCTACGGCTTCCTCCTTCACCATACTGTTCATTCCATTTCCGCAGCTCGTTCATGCTAGCTGCATCATATGCAACTGATGGCCCCACCTGGAAATTTTTATAAAGCTCAATTGAACGGTATATATAGTAGTTTCTAAGCTTGGTATAATCCAAACAACTTACCTTGGCTTTAGATTGTACAAAATCTTCCAAATTCAGCGGTCTTAACACTGGAGCTCCATTACCCTCACCCTGCAATGAGACGAACTAATTATAAACACTGAATATTATCATGATGACAAAGAATAAAGAATGGTCAAATAAGACAAAATATGGAAACCAGGGCACCGTGTTTTATGACAGTTGAAAAGAGGTCAATATAGAACAGTCTATTGAACATGAGGATTGACCTATTTTGTTAGGGATACTTCGAAGTAAAAGTCAAAAACAAATAGTGCTTTGGGCTGATTTCTGGGGAATAACAGGTTGGATTGCACCTCTTCCACCGGTATAGCTTTTGAGAAAAGTGGTTGCATCTCCCTACATAAGTTGATATTGGAACTGGAGGTCTCATGTTTGATTCTCCAATGAGGGTGGGCCTATTTCATAAGGGAAATTTCGTAGTAAAGGCCCAAATGAATGGTGCCTGGGGTGGATTCCTGGGCATGATCCTGGGTGATAAAGGGATACATCACTTTCACCCTTTTCACCAGAACACTCCTGACCCTTCTCTCCTTGAACATCTTCTTCTTCCCTTTTCCTTCCAGAGAAGGGGTAAGAATCAGAATAACCTAGAGCTAGCTAGTAAACAGTTCACCATCTGTTTATATTCATACGAAGTAATTTGCCAGAGAAGGGGACTAAATAATTGAATTTATGACATACGACAAGGATACATCTTAATTTATCAGAATTTAGTCATAAACAGCCCAAACTGAGATTGAAGTTTATCCACCACTCAGTGCCACCAAGGAACTTCAAATTTAGGAATCAGTAATTTTTGTCATGTTATGTTCCGATGCATATTGTTCTAAAGTGTGGTGAAAAACTCATAAAAGAATCAACTAATTGACCTCAGTACCCATCAGGGAAAAAAAATTGACGCAGTTCCAACCAAAGACTGTGAAGGAACAACCATCTAGTAGCAGCAAAACTGTATAAGCGGAATAATAGATTGAGCATTGTAGCCTTTACCTCACTTTCTTTTTCTAGCAATTCCTGGACAGGTCTATATGCTGCAGCAACGCAAAGGTTCTGCAAAAATATGTTTATAGAAGTTCAATGTTACACCACTAGATAGAATTAAGTAGCCATATTAGTATCTAACTGGTAATGAAATTAAGCAAATTACCTTTAAATCACTCCCCGAATAACCCTCGGTAGCATTTGCTAGTTGGTCAAAAGAAAATTCAGATTCCAGATTTTCTTGAGCAAGTATTATTTTTAGTATCTTCAGACGATTTTCAGCATCTGGTAGGTCCACATAAATCCTAATACCAACCAAACAAACATCATTAGCAGTTTCACTTCACGACTCGTGGTTTTCCAGATTATTTTGTTCTCAGAACAACATTCACTTGCTACCAACACTCTGAGATTACATTTGTAGTTTAAGAAGAAACAGAGAACAGGTTGCAAACTCCTCTACAACACAGACACTGATCATCTGACAAAAAAACTTGCAACATTTTTGGCAACGCTTAAATTAAACATACTTTTTATCCACACATTTTGTAGGACCCACAACTTAATCCCCGCTTATTATCCAAACATTCCATAGGACCCATAGCTCATAAACACTTAATGTTCACTCGCAAGACTTTACCTTCTTGGTAGGCGTCGAATGACAGCATCGTCGAGATCAAATGGTCTATTCGTGGCACCAAGGATAAGGATTCTCTGGCTGTCTTTTGACCTTAGTCCATCCCAAGCTGCCATAAACTCATTCCGCATTCTTCTAGTTGCCTCGTGCTCAAAAGCACCCCCACGAGCACCAAGTAAACTGTCAACCTGCATGCACAGGCATAGCAAGGATTTATAGCTACAATAAACAATAGTCAGAAACATCCAAAAACAATGACAGGCATGAAACACCATCACAGTGCTTTGAATTTGGATTACTGCATGCAGATTTATAGAGAGAGAAATTTTCCTTTTGATTGGTCTCCATGTAATATACAGCAAGAAAATGAAAGTATGGACTACCATTATTGCTCCTTATTTACATTATACTATAGAACTGAATACCACCTTAGTGGTTTCCTAGTTTCAATTCATCTCTCTATCCATCCTCTCTCTATTTTTTAAGTACATTACAATCTACTTCTTGATATCTAATTTTTAGCTAATGAAAAATATACAAAACGAATATAAAAATTTTGCCTACATATTATAAACAATAAATACATAATTTCTAAATATCTATATTTGAAAAAAATAAAAAATATTTCATATGGAAGACATGGCAAGTCTGAATGAATTGCTAGTTTGTGATAATCAATTATGCTTCTAAGTAGCTCAGAAATCTTGTCTTTGTACACTTGCTGAAAATTTGTGACTTCATAATGTCATAAAAAACTATTACACTCTAAATAAGGTGGATTAATCTTTGGAATCAAATTCAAATTTTTACCTAATTGCCTTGCAGATTAAAATAAAGTTTCTTGTAAATAGCTCTTTCTGTAATCATCATGTTATGTAAAAACCATAAACACGTTCACAGTTCATCTTCAGCTAGCTATAGGTAGGAAAATATCCTTCGAAAAAAGTTATTGTTATTGGGATTTTAAAGATTTTTCAAGACTCAATACACAGCGTTGCTGTTGTTAAGAAGAAATAACTGACGAGGATGCCAGTCGGTTAGAGAGGCCATTTGGGGAGGATGAAATTAGAGAGGTGGTGTTCAGCTTGAATGATGATAAGGCACCCGGACCGGACAAATTTTCGTTCTCATACTATAAGACTTGCTGGGAAGTAGTGTGATCGGACATTGTTGATGTCCTTATTTCTTTCAATGTGGAAGATTCTTGAGAAGTGCCAATGTTACATTTATTGTGTTGATTCCAAAGAAATCGAGAGCAACACATATTAAAGACTTTCGTACCATTAGCCTCGTGAGCGGAGTATACAAGATTATCGTGAAAATTTTGGCAAATAGATTAAAGGAGGAGCTGCTAAAATGTGGTGTCTAAGTTTCAAAATGCTTTCGTTAAAGGGCGCCAGATTTTGGATTCAGTACTTACAGCAAATGAATGCATTGACTCACGACTGCGTCTAGGTGTTCCTGGAATGCTATGCAAGCTTGACATTCAGAAGGCTAATGATCACGTCAATTGGGGATTTCTCTTGTATATGCTCAGGCGATGTGGCTTCGGGGATAAGTGGTGTCGGTGGATTCAGTTTTGCATCTCCATAGTTTCCTTTTCAGTTATGGTGAACGACATTCCGGAGGGTTATTTTCGTAGCAGCAGAGGATTGAGGCAAGGGGATCCTTTATCTCCATTGCTATTTGTCATTGTAATGGAGGCCTTCAATAGGATGCTTGAGAAGGCTGTGGGGGAAAGTTTACTGAGGGCTTTACGGTTGAGCAGTTGCAAGTATCTCATTTGCTCTTCACAGACGACACACCGATTTTTTGTGATGCAGAC